ACATTCCAGCTTTTGTCCTTGTATCCTCTATACCTTCTATGGTTAACTTGTGCATCAAATATCTCTCCATGTCTGAACTGTGGTACGTATGAATTATGAATGTCTGAAGAGTAAGGGCTTTTTTTTATTTGCAATTTAAGGGGCCCCAAATCTTTTGGTGCACTAAATTATTCATATATTCAAATGAATCTGACTTTGAGGACATTTTTTTCCTTTCTTCTCCTCTTTCATGAATTTAGAGTATACCCTTCAGAGGGATCGGGCAAAATTGCCAAGACTATTAGTAGTAAAGGTTTAAGCAGAACAGTGATTTCAAAGGGTTCCGTCCACTTTTGGGCTTCTTGCCCAGTCGTGTGTTCTTGTACATGGGTGTTTTTGCCCATTTCTCCAATCGTGAGGGATGTTTTTGATACAGTGCCAATATCATCTTTCCATCTCCTCTCATTGTTATTCTGGACAGGTACTGGCCTGTCAGGCTGCTGTCCTGTGTGTGTGTGTGTGTGTCTGTGTGTGTGTAGTTCAGTATGTTTTCTCTGTTCCATGTCCTCAGATCTGTGCAGCTCATTTTGACTGGCATGACATCGCCATGAGACGAAAATCTGGAGTGTAGTCACCGCATATTTATTGGCCAACCAACGTCTGATCCTAAAAATCTTTGAAAATCAAATTGAACATCACATCTTGGAGACATGGACAAACTATATTATATTTTAACTGTTTCTCCAAGATTGGGGATGAACAGACACTTTCTTCTGCAATAAAGAGATGACAAGCAAAGCTTTCCCGTGCTCAAGGCTTGAATATGGCTCTAGTAAGCCTCTCTCTCAGTTGGGAGTTTTCCAAATTGGTTCAGATTACCAGACTGATGTAAAGTAAATCTAGTAGTGCAGCTAAAATATACTGAACTTCTAACATACTTGCAACTAATATCCTGACACTTTCTGGTCTGTTATTTTAAGAGTTTAAAGTTGTTCCCATAAGCAGAATGAGCTTGTCAAACCCCCAAAAATACACACACACTTTAGCCCAAAATAGTCTCCAAATGCAGTTGCAGCCCCCTCATTGCTGCATGTCTCCCTCCCTCATTAACATGCAGTGCAGAGACTGGTGTCCTCACAAGGGCAGCGCTGGGATGGCATGGAGTCAGAACAGGCTGGGATATCAGGGAATGACACGGAATTGGCGGCCACGCCTTCTGGGATTAGTGACAAAAGCCAGCTGAGGCCAAAGCTCTTATCTCCATCCTTCAGTCCTCTCACTCTCTTTCACACACACACACACACACAGGCAACACAAATGCACACAAATGCACACAAGAATACTCGAGTTTGCACAGAGACAAGCATATGTACTCACACACACATAATTAGCTTTGCCAAACATATTCCCTCTTTAGGAAAATAAGGAACTCTGTGAGTGTAAAGGTTCCTTGTGATAGGTTTAGAAATGGTTTTGCACGGTGTGATTAACTGAGTGGAGGTCATGGGAAATAATTATTGGAATAATTAAAAAATGATGTGCAACGTTCCTTTTCTCTGCCCTTGGTTTCTCCCTCAAGACCGTCAACTCCAGTGAAACTGCCTGGAGCGTCTCATTAAAAATATTTATCAACATTTTTTTCCTTTTGGCTGGTTCAGATTAAGAAAATATTCACAAACGAATATATGCTCACTCATCAGATGAATCCCAGACTTCTTCACATAGCTGTCACAATTTTGTCTGAAGTATACATGAATATCAGCCATGTGATGTTAGCTAAAGCTGGATTTGGATGTGAAATAAAGTCATCTTCCTCTCATCTCTACCCTCTCTGTTCTCCAAGGCTGCTATTCCCCTCTGGTGCCTGTGTCAGTGGGCAGATGGTGGCAGACAGAGGCATCTGTGGAAGAGGAGGTGCGTTTTCCCCTTCACAGAGCAGGGACAGGTGTCATCTGCCTCACAATTAACATCTTCATGAATACTATTAAGGTGTTAACAAGCTCATATGAGAGAGTCAGGGTCATGCACAGAATTTATTTTAGAGAGGCTGAAGCTTTTTTTGTTTCATTTCAAAATGAGCTACTTACTCTTACAATCTTTACTACACTCAAAGTAAAGCTGTTTAAAGCATTGATTCACCCAAATTACAAAAAGATATTTTCCCAATTTCAACTACTTCTACTATCGAATAAATAGTCATTTGACATGACAGCATGCTCTGCTCTGTGGATTCTTCATAGTAACATGAACTCTGTTTCTGAAGAGATTGTACTGTTGAATTTTTTGTGGCATGTTGGTCTGTCAGTTGATCTTAGTCAACTATTTTGGTCCAGACTGAAATATCTCAACAATTCTGAGATGGATTTGTTCGTACAGACATTCATGGTCCCCAGAACATTAATTCAGTGACTTTGGTGATCCTCTGACTTATTCTCTAGTGTCACCAGCAGGTTGCCATTTGTGGTTTGGAATGAAATATCTTGAGAATTATTGGGTGGATTGGCATTAAATGTGCAACAGACATTCATGAAGAACTTTTTAACTTTGTCCAGTAGTTTAGTAAAAGACCAAACTAATCACATTTCCATCAGCCTCAGCTGTACATTGTGTTGTTTACAGCCAATTAGCACAGGTCAGCATGCCAACATGCTAATCTAGGAGGGTGAAGATGATGAAACATTATGCCTGATAAACGTCACTGCATGATAAGCATGTGAGCATGCTGACGTTGGCATTCAGCTAAAAGCACCACTGTGTGCAAGTACAGCCTCACAGAGTCTTATCTAAATATAATAAATGCTACCAGCACCACAAACAAAGTCCACATTCATTGTATTGGGGTTGTGTCCAAATAAATCCTATAACTATCTTCATCGCTAGATACCTGAGGTGAGTGAGAAAATATATTTTTTTCTAATTTAGGTGAACTTTTAATGGTTTAATTATGGTGAGTCATCCTATGCGTTTTGCTCACAAAACTGTTTATAGAACAAATGTGCTTAGGTGCTGTTAACAGACATACTGTTTGGAGGGGGAATCAGAGGGAGAGAAAGAGAGGGAGGTGAAAATCCAAGCTTCAAGATGAAAAGAGGCGAGGAGAGCGGCGCTGAGAAATTGAGAGGTAGTAAAGGCTGCTTCTTTTTTCTTGGGCCGCCCTTTATCATTCATCTGCCAGTTTGGGGTCTCATCTGAGCAGTTCATTCTGCCAGCACAACGGCAGAGGGGTTATTGCTCACCACTGGATACTGTCTACTGACGCAGTTTGCTGAGAGCAGAGAGCAGGGCCGTGTCCCTCATACAAACACTAAAGAGACGAGAACCAAAACAAAGGCTCGATTGTGTGTGGGAGGGTTAGCATGTAATGACAAATATTGATTTATTGGTCAATTATCAAACCATTTATCTGAATGTATGTCTATTGGTTTATCTATTTGTCGGGCCAAACTATTAAACAGCTTAACTGTGAGGAATATTTGCTCAGTGAAAATGAGAGTACAAAAGACACAGACTAGATTTGACGGTTAGCGCAATCATTATTGAAAGGTGATGAGCAGCAGTGGGAAAAGTGGGAGGGCAGAGACAGAGGGAGGGGATGGAATTAGATTGAGCACTACCCCCTCTCTTCTTTCCTCTTCACCACTTCTCAAGTAAGTAAAAGAAAATCATGTGAGCCCATTCATACAGAGGAGCCACATCTGACAGTGTCTACTCCAGCTGTAGTGCCTGTGTGTGTGTGTGTGTGTGTGTGTGTCACACTGAATGACACACAGAGAGAGGGAGAGAGAGCAGGCAGGCTCACAGGGAAGATCTCAGGGGCAACAGATCTGGTTTGCTCGGCTGAAAGACCAAACACAACGGGATGGATTTCTACACAACGTGAACGCGAGCGAGGAACAGTTGCCTCACACATAAAAAAGGTCTGTAACTATTGCTTTTTTGAAAGGTTTCCAAACTGTTTTTAAGAGGGAGCGAGAGCAGAGATGGTGTTAATCTGATCTGTAAAATGGGACTCCTCTGAATACAAAGAGCCATTATTCACCTCAAATGTCTCTTTTCAGTTGCCAGCAACTTTATTCAGTGCAATATCACTGCATGCAGAACAGTAGTGGGGGAACAAACACTGTTGCAGACATAAAGGGAATATGAAATAGTAAAATTGAGACTAAAGGTTAAAGGGAGGTGGGTGGGGGTCGTGTAAATACTCATTCACTAACTTGGGGGAATAAGCGGGCTTCCTATGTGGCAGTTGAGAAAAGGAGGGAAGGAGTGAGTGATGAGTAAAGCAATTGTACCCCTAGATTGAGTGAAAAAGGAGGAGGACCTAAAAAGTGCCCATTTAGGGCAATGAGAACAAGAGCAGGGTTTGTTTGTGTTTTGAAATGATGTATGACTCAAGCAACCGTCGTAATAAAGAGAGCAAACTGCACACAGACAAACAGTCGGTATGGGCTTTATTGGCAACCGCATTTTGAAGTATCGGGTGTAATTAACAGATATGAGAATGAGGTGTAAATCACAGGGATGAACTAACAGACACAGACGCACACACACACATACACTTAGACATCAAAGCAAAAGAGCTCATTATCTACACTGGCCACTGACCAAAAAAACGTCCGTACTTCCTATTCATCATTATAACTGTTTCTCTGGTTTAAACTCTTGTCAGTTATAATAAGTCCTTTGCAACACCTTTGAGAACTCATTCCAATTTGGCTGTTTGAAATCCTTACTTTCATGCACTGAATATCTGAGAGAATCAGATAACAGTTCAACAGGGGCGCTTGACCCCAGGTGTAGCTTTGAGTGTACTCAGGTGCGAGATTTTGTCATTCAAATGTAAAGGCAATGAATAAAAACATTAGTTTTTTGTTTTGTAGACTAATTCAAATTCTACCTATTATTCTAAATTTGGAGTCTTCTGTCTTTTGTTGGCATATGTTACTTGCAGACAGTTTTTTTGAGATATGTCATTTCAAAGTAAGTGCTAAAATAATCCGAAATGGAGAGAAATAGATTGTTTGGTGTCTAAAAATAGTGGAGAAATGGTTGAGAGCTACTGATGCATATAGCAACTTCTCTTTCTTCATACTTTCATCATTCCTGCATATCTCGGACCCCTACGCGGGTTATCTGTGGTATTTGAGGCTGCAGAGGCGATTTGGAATTCATGTGGTTGAGCCTCAGGTCTGTTTTCAGCTGATCTGGCTCAGAATATGAGATATTTAACATGTTTGAAATTCAGGCTACTCCTATCTCCTGGCAATCTGTTGTCTGAGCTGAAATTGCAGGTGTATGTCTGTGTGTGTGCGTACAGTATAAATGTGCATATACGTGTGTGTATGTGAATGAATATGCCTGGTATTTCTGCTATTGGCTCAGCTTGTCTTTGTCGGTTCAGGCACGTGATATGAATACAGTGTGGAAAAAGTGTGCGCACACACACACAAACAAACACACACACACACACACACAGAAAAGAATATGGCCCAAATGCCATGACATTTTGCCACACATGGATCTTGTCCATTATTCATGAAATGAACAGCTAATACCAGAACATGTCTCCCTTGGAAGTTAAGGTTAAAGTAAATATTTGCATATGCTGCATGCATGAACTGTAAATATTCCAGTCATGGCTGCAGCTATTTTCTGTTTAGGGTTGGCCCTGAATGAACACTGTGAATATATAAAAAAAAGCCTTATGCAAAAATAATACATTCACAGTAACTCACATGGATCTTCAGAATAAACGGCAAAAAAATATATTTATGTTTTAGCTTTACAAAACAACAACAAACAAACAACATTTGCTATATTTTATGATTTTATTTGTATATTATTAAAGCCGGTTTATCACTTTCAAACACCTTAAGAGCATAAAGTACAGAAAATGTTATTCAAATAAAATGCATTACAATCCAGTATGCAAATAATAAACACTGTACAAAAGACTAATACATTTATATATATATATATATATATGGGGACAACAACAGCACAGGATATTTATGTGGACAGAACACATTAGATGAAGCCAAATTGTGTTGAATATACATTGACAGCACTGACAGCAAGGAAAATTATAAGGAGATGATGAAAAAATGAAGCAGGGTGAGGAACAGATTGAGAAAGTGGAGCAGAGGAAGCTTCACGGCAAAATGTCTCAGGAGGAGTTTTGCCGAACGTACTCCACCAGCAGAAGAGGAGATTGTTTGAGGAGTGACATGCAGAGATTGTGCAGCTCAGGAAGGAGTTTGATCAGGACTAAAGGGAGCTTTGGGAGTCCGGGCTCACTGTCTATAGACACACACTATGGTGGACAAAACATGTATGTTCAAGTCAAGACCAAACAAGCAAAGGTGGAGCAGAGAGAGAAGAAGGATATGGAACTGATGAAGAGAAATTTGCTTAAGGCAGCCCAGTTTGAGGAGTGTGCAGCAGAGATAGCCAAGGATATACTGAATATATTAAAAGCTCTTGACATAGCCAAGAGGACAATGCTGACATTGAAAATGTACATAATCAGAAAAAAAAAGTCATAGCTGAGAGTATAAAAAGGAGGAGCACTCCTGCAAGAACCCATTGATGAGCTCCAGGCTGGGAGACCCGGGAGAAAACAGGAGAATAAGGAGGCTGAAAGGCTCCACACAGCCCTGACTGGGAGCAAGTGGAAGAGACTTCTTCTGTGTTAAGTTGTTAAAGAAGGACCGAGATGTCAAGTAAAGTCACCTAAATGCAAGTGAAAAAGTCTCAGGCTCAGTCTGCAGGACTCCTCAGGACCAGTGAGGCCATTGCCCCTTGCCTCTCTTACATTTTAAGTCACACAGTATGTCCACAAACTAAACATGCTGTGTATCAGCAGGGTGGTGCAGAGTCGTAACGCATTATAATGAACCAATCTTAGTTTTTTACTACTTAAAATAAAAGTACCAGGGAAATTACTGGGGGCATGTTTATACAAGATATATGAACAATACAAATGTTCTCTAATCTCGTATAAATGTATAATAAGTTTGATGAAGATTGATAAATATCATTTTCAGCATCTTACTGAATTGGGGTTAAACGATTTTACACCGACTGGAAAAAGGATTTCTCTTTGCTAACTTTTGACTAGGAACAGCAGCTCTTGTTCTGTTTCTGGTGTAGGAAGGTTCCAGAAAAGATTAAAGGAGACAACCCTTATATAAGGAGTTCTTTTATTAAGTGCTCACAAAGCCTAGTTGTGGCGAATGACTTGATTCTGTTGCATTCTGTTACACCGCTTCCCATGTTTGTTTACGTCACTAATACGAGAACAAAAACACTTTACACATGTGACAATATACATTTATAGAGATTTGTTCTGCTCACTTGAAGCATAATTATGGATATTTTGTATAGCAAGAGGTGTTTCCTGCAATTTACCATTGTGGGCAAAGAAATTGAAACATTTCTTGTGAAAATGTGGATTTTGTATGCCCTGTATGCCACATTTATGCCCTTTGCCAGTCACATGCCTGTTTAAGTGATGAACTGCACTACTTGTGGTTGTTTTTAGAAATGGTGACAGACATTTTATACTCGTGCTACAAATGTTGTGGCCTGTGCTACAAAACTTTCAACCTCTGTAGCCCCAAAAGCAAAAACATTTAACATACAGATCCGGTTTAGCAACAGCTGAAGTTAAACCAGGCTCTTGTTACAGAGACTCAAACAAATGAGGTTACAGCTCAGTGGAAGAGAGAGATAAAAAAGGATGCATAAAAATGTCCAACCGCCAGCAATGTATTCTGGCAGTCTCAGAAAAGAAATGTAAGGAGGCTTGGGCTCAACTGACCGAAGAACTGACCAAAGTCAGGCTAGTGGGATGCGGAGAGAATCAGCATGGAGACTGAGGATTAGCTGGTGACTGCAGTTACGAAGCGAGCAAGACATGATTGCAGAAAACTACATCTTGGAGAAAAAATAAAACCCTTAAACATAACATTCAGAGGAAAAAACAAAGATAAGATAAAGATAATTTAAAGAACAACTTACATTTTTATTTTCCCTGACCTCTGGTGGTTCAACATCTCACCTCATTGCACTGATGTAAAATAAAGATGTATCATTTTCCCAATTAGCCCTGTATTAGCCTCTGTATTATGCTTGTAGCTTAGCTCACTGTGTTCCTAAGTAAAATAACTACGGGTATTTATTATACGTAGGCGGATGTGTGTGTATGTGCATGTGTATGTCTGACCTCTTCAGCCTCAGCGGGACTGCATGGCCTGCCCTCTTAAAGTAGATTAGCTTGAAAAAGAACTGAACGTACCTTGTTGCCTGGATACAAAAAGCATCATTAAGCCCAATTATCAGCCACTTCAGCTCACAATGAACAAGCTTCATCACAGATTTCAAAACAACATATCATTAACGACAGCAACCTATACAGAGCAGGAAGGAGTAGGAGGGAACGACGAGGGAAGGACAGTGGATAAGATGAGGAAAAGGCGGCAGGGTAGATGTAGAGTGAGCAAGCGGGTGGGGGTTCAGTGTCACGTTCATGGACATTTCTGATGATTGACACATTTTGAGCTGAAATGAAGAGAGTAAAACTGGCCACAATGGACCCTTTTTTCACCATTAGCAATTAAAACCAAAAATGTTGTTAATATACCTGAAATCCAGATGGTCAGATCATTTCAGGAATTGAATTAATGAAAGTGTTGCTTGAGCCAGGACGGCAAAACACTGATACATAGTTAGAGGACAGCAGAAGGAGTGAAGGGCAATGCGTGTGCAGTGAATAGCAATACTTCAACTCAAAAAGTCTCCGCAGAGAAAGAGACAATATAAGGCAACAAAACTGGGAGGACAGTTTTTCATTGGGCCGGGGATACCGCTGGGAGTATTTGACAAAGAAAACAGAGTTAGGGCAAGAGAGAAAGCGATCATACAAAGAGAGATCAGCCGAAACTCATCCCTCTTCATTACGCTCTGTATCTCCCTGTAGGTACAGTTGGGCTGTAAATTAAAGAGAGCAGAGTTCTTGTCAACTGTACCATCCAGAGAGAGAGAGAGAGACAGAGAGAGAGAGACGAGAGAGGATGAGAAACTGAGAGGAGAGAGAGAGAGAGATGGAGAAAAGGGGAAAGAGAATGAAATGGAGTGAATAAGCTGTGAAGAAAAGAGTTTGGGGACAGAGTGGCTTGCTTAAACTTCAAAGGTGATTTACTCAATAGATGATAAAGAAAGGTTTTGTACAGGCATTGACATTGACAATGCTGGGTCCAAACTGGTGCACCCACATACATATTTAACTGTAGGAGTTATCTGTACAAAACGTATTGATGATAATAGTCCATCATCGCACTGTATATCAGTTCTGCTCTTGGCTGTAAATGGGGCTGCAATAATCTTAGTGGTGTTAGCTCAACTTCTCATAATACTTCACCGTAAACGCTCAGTACTCGATAATTCATTTGACATTTGTACACTGCACTCACAGTCAATTACATTTTCTCTACCAAACAGGTGTGAAGGAACAAGTGGTATATATACTCAATGCTACTGAAGTACAAAAACACATTATACAACACAATAAACATGTGTTTCACACCTGTGTAGCAGTTTTGTACTTGCCTATGGTGTGATGAATCGGGCTCCAACCAACCATGATATTAGCTCTCTCACAGCCATAAAATACAATTTTAGGCTAAAAAATGAACTATTTTAATCAGAGCTACCAACCTACCACAGGAACAGGATACAGCCGACAGTTTGGGGTTCTCCCTTCAAGTCTGCAGGGGCCTAAAAATAGCCTACATTATAAATAATACTGGCAAAATGGAAATAATATTGTAATGGCTGGTAATGGCAAGTGAAATCATGTTATTTCTTGCTTGAGCATATCTCTCCATACTCCACACAATTCTCCCATCGACTGTTTTACAGGTTGAAAACCACGTATTATCCCTTTATTGCATTCACTTTTTCAACTTCAAATTATTGTGAATTGCTAATGCTATTAGCACCTTAACACCTACATTTGCCTTCAGATCGCTAATGCTTCCACATATATCTCTGCCTTGCAACTCAAATTCACAATATTATCTCCCACCAAAATAAATGTTCAAAAGTTTATACTGTATTTTGTTTTGAAAATGGGAAGTTTCTGATATGTATTTAGTGTTTCCAGTCGTCACATAATCACAAATAATCAAAACTGATTGATTATTTGTTGTGACGAATGTGAGGAAAGGCAACATTTATACTGTGTGAATTTATAAGTAATACATTTGAAAAGAAAAGAACATGGAGTCTTATTTCATAAGGATGAACAGGAAGACTTATATCAAAGTATTAATTAAATTGTGTGATGCTTACACTAGCCTAAATTGATGATAAGAAGTGCTGCCCCAATTACACAAATGTCATTAAAAAAAAAGGTTTCGGGTCAGTTTAGACAAAAGGGTATGCCACGCTTCCTTGGAATAGGAGATAACCTTCTTTCATCTTCAAATGAGGGTAGTTAACATCTTAAGTGTTACAGAAATGTATCATGTATCATGTTTTAAAAGTATGGCAAGAAAGGTTCCACACGGCGGAAATTCACAGTCCCAATCACCCATTAATTCACCCTACTGAAAATGGTCTGTTAACCCCTTAGGGGCCACACATTATAGCAACTCATGGAGAAGGCGCAATGAATACTGTAGTTTACTCACTCCTCTGACTATAATTTGCCAGGCACATATAGTTTCCATTGGGAAATGCATAACCATGAAATGGAAAGGAAGTAGGGGAGAGCTGGCAGATAAAACGCCACTGTGAGGCATAGACTGTATGCTGACCTCTTGCTTTTATTCTGCTCATGGTCTATTATTCCTCCCTTTGAAGTGTCTTTCTCTGCTGTCATAGATCAAGTCAAGACACAAGGCTGGCATAACCCAAATGCAAAACAGCCTCCGTCTGTCTCTCACCAACACAAAGACTGTGAACAGTTTCTACATGACAATGCTCACACAGTCACATCTTGTTGTCAGTTTTGTGCCGTGCAGTAATTTGCAATGGAACATTATTAGCAGTTTTAATATGCAGTGGAGGAGGGTTGGCTCTCAGCTGTCTTTGTGAAAGCTGATTATGAGTTTAATTTCATCAGATAAGAATGCCTTCATTTATGAACATATGCAGCTTGCCAGACAGGCATTCAGTGAGACAAGCACTCCCCCTGCTGTTGCTCCTCATTGCAGTCAGGTCAGTATAGCTCCCTGATTTTACCATGTGAGTATCTCTTTAATAACAGCCAAGCCACAACAACATCCATAGGATTTTTTTTGTTTTTACATTTTTGTCTAAATTCATTCTTATACATTATACATGTTCGTATCTCTCTTTTATTGATTAAGTAACAATTCTGTTACTAAGAATCCTATTCTGTTTATGGTAAAATATACATTTTAACATTTTAACAACATGTTTGCCTGTTTCTTTGCTGCAAATATCATTTTCAAATTACTTATCTACAGTTTATAATTTCCTTAGCCCTAAAATCAAGTGTTTTCAGACATTAATTTTACAGTTTTATGCCAGATGTACAGTTAACTATCTAGGGCAATGCAATAAAAGTTTTTTGTCAATAATTGAGTATTTGCAAGTTAATTTCGTAGATCTTAATTTTCCTGAACTCTCCATCTGGCACTCAAAGAGGGTGAAAGGTAATTATAATTATTAGCAGCCATTATTTGAAAGAAGTCTGTTCTGCATCTGGGGCTCTTGAAGTAAATTGTTGGCACTGAACTAGAACTGCAGGAGTGCTCTCTGCCTTCCTCTTAATCCCAGTCAAAGCTGAGGATGTGGGTGAAAGCTCTTGTGAAGCCAGCATCTGCCATGTTGAAGTGTCCTGGAAGGAGAAACAGTTTCATCAGACAAAAGAGAATTTCTCCTTATGAATTTTATGTATGTTTTAAAATGAAATGATGTGTGTTTCTGCTGTTTCTCATCTTTCTTTTTCTCTCATGCAAATCTATCCTAAATGTCAGCCAGGATGTCAGGGATGGATGTCCCGTTGGTGGACCACAATGAAACTGGAATCTCTCCAATTGACAATGGGACCTTCCTCCGTTTCTCCCCAACCTCTGCTTCCACGTCGGCGGCCGCCTCATCACCAGGACGTCCAGGCAACGTTTTTGTTTACGTGTGGCTCTTCCTCGGCCTGCTGGTGTTCCTGCTGACGCTGCTCATCATCTCCCTCCACAGGCTGAAGAACATCATCTCCTCCTCTTCCTCTGTCCCCGACTGCAGCAGCGAGGGCGGGAGCTCTTTCACCAACATGGAGATCTGCAGCATCTCGTCTCAGAGGTCCACCATCTCCTCGCTGTCCACCTGAGGGAGATGGGACGGAGCACATACAGACACATACTGTATGCCCAAGTGCATTTCCTCATGCATGCATGCAACAACAAGCAGGCATGCACACACACAAAGCATATAGAGGCCCAGCGGCTCCTCACTGTGATATACAAACACAAAAACACAAGACAGCAAGGTATTACACAGCATGCATGTATATTCGAATCCCACTAAGTTTTGTGTGGGAAATATAGCTCACAATGTGATGAAGAGTTCTTGAGGGACTGAACCCTTCTGAGGCTTATTTCAACAACTAAGACATATGAACCAGAGAAACTACTTTGCCTCTGCAAGAAAAAAACATAATGAGAAACTATTATCTTTCCTCTTCATTTTTTTTGTAAAATTCATATCTTGTCTGTACTGTAGAAAAAAATAACAAGGCTTTCAAGTAATACTTTGTACAGCATGTCTCATAATGTCTGTAGATTACATTGCAAAATCTGAATTAATAATATTAAAGACCATCACTTTGTACAGAAATGCATGCTTTTGTCTCAGTTGATCAGTAAGGCTTTAATAAAAAAATGTTTACCTTTCCAATGGGTAAGATACGGTAAAACTGTACTATAAAATTCCTAACAAATTGCTTCATGACTGGGGAAAGGACATTGTACAAGAAATCCTGCTGTGGATGTGAAGGTGAGAAAGAATGAAGGTTGTGTCTTTGTGTGACTACTGACAGGCAGTCAGCCTCTGACTGCAGCTACAGACAGGCCAGGTCAAAAGGGGCATAAACAACAAGATGAAATTTTGGTCCTGAAAGACAGGTCTACCAGCGTAACGGATTACCCTCTCTTGCCTGTCAGCTCACGTGCCGTCTGATCGCAGTCTCCATAGTGACTGAAGCATGAGAGCTCTGTGCAGCTGTCAGCCTTGTCTATATTCCAGGATTAAGCCACAGTAATGGTTGGTTCTGCTCAAACTACATCATTTTTATTACAATGCTGTTAGATCTAAGTTTCTTAAAAAATATACCACAAATGACTTGAAAAAGGTTCATTGATCTTCGTCAAACTTTTCCACAAAATTCATTAACAGCTGGAGGCTCAGCGAGCGGTGATGATGGCCACGAAGCTACGAACAATACGAGGAGTCAGATCTGTCGGTGTTCTTCTTGACAAATCCTTTGTTCTCACACTAATCTGTGCATTTTGGGTGATGTTACTGCATCAACCAAACTCTTTGGTTCCCAATGTATATTCTGCTGGAAAGCTTTAAATGTAAAAATTGGCTCATAGAATCACAAACCATGTTAATAAAAAACTCTCTCTGGTTCATGTTTACAGTTTCTTTTAAGCATTGAAGACACTATATGTGTTTACATATTGGATTACAGATCAGATTTTTAGTGGTTGTGTTTGTCATGTACATGTAGCCAAACACACTGGAGGAATAACAGAATTAAAGCAGTGAATTACATTGTGTTGGATGGGCTCAAACAAGTAAATGCACACAATTACAGAAAAAGATTTTAATCCCAAATGTGAACAAGGAACATAATGGTGTTTTTCTAGTTTCATCTCTAAATTTAGAAACACATAATTAGTATTACTACTAAAGTTGGTTCATTATTTCAGCTGTTGTTTGGTAATTATGTTGTTTTGCAAGTTGAATTAGAGCTCTTATTTCAGTTCAGTCTTGCAAACACAGAGACATCATTCAGTGAAGATACAAAGTATATATCTTGCATGACTTATTATACTGTATACCTTGTGACTGCAAATTTATGCCCATGCTCTTACACAATGAACATGCTGTATTGTCATTTTTTAAATGCTTGTAAGGGATGTATTCCTATTTTTACCACAATTTAATTACTGGGTCTGCTACAACATGCAATTAACCAAATTCACACCTGGAAAAAGTTCAATTTCAGCACATTTTTACACTGTTATTTCTTTAAGAAGTTCCACAGGAAGTTACCTGCCTTGCTAAAGGAAATTTGATTTAAGCAGGAGACAATGCAGGACCAGAGCCAGGAACTAGTATTTCTCTGTGTGTCTGAAGTATCTCTGTTTTTAGGAAGTGCTGCAGAATATGGCTGAAAGTAACAGACGTCTGATATGAAAATAACAGCAAAGCTGATAGTTCAACAACTTAGTCAAGTGAGTTTAGTCCAACAGTCTCTTGAAATCATTTGAGGGAAGAAGAGTTATTTTTTCAGCTGCTACAAGATGTCCTCACTCTCTCTGTGCAGCACTGCTCTGATGAAGCAGAGAAACAGAATATGTCACCAAGGAAAAGTCAAGTCATCAAATTCTTTGCATATTTTATTTTTCTTATCATGATTTTTTTTCAACTCACACATGTCATATTTTACATCTTTGCAATAAAACATGAATACAATAGTTTTTAGGGTTTCATAGATCCAAAAATATTTAACCTTTTTTTGGATACGTAAGTTGAACCTGTCGATAGAGTATGTGCATGTGCGCATTTGATCAAGATGGCTTCACACATACAGTACATCTCACATTACATCCCCTCTCCTCCCTCCTTCCCACCTCTATCAGCTACAGAATCATGATATTGCTTACAACTGTGAGGTTGTAAAACCTAATAATCACACATGAGCTCAACGTTTTAAATACAAACATCAATGCACAAATAATCCCGTAGGGAAAATGGACCTAAACAAAATGGCAGCCGACCAGAAAGAACCAAGCTAATAAATAATGATATGTGATTGGTGCAAAGTGCAAATACAAAACAAACTTTTACATTGATTTGATTTTCTTTTTTAAATAATCAACAAATGTGGGTAAGTGAAGGTTTCCTTTGCTCTTTCAGTCTTATTCAGCTGATTAAGTCTTCCACCAAGCCTGAACCAAGACTATATGTACATATTTGACAAAACAATCACCAAATATACAAAGGAAATCATGTCAGTCTTGTGTTTTTCATCATTGGTGGCACTGGCAAGATCTCTTTATCGATACCATCTCCGGCAAAATTATCACCATCCTTGACACCGCCGTTATTACCATCAGTCTTGTCAACATTATAATAATTATTACACAATATTTTACATACAGCAAGTCATTAATAAATTAAAGGTGATAAGCGCAGTTTGTGTAGTGAAAGAACACGTGTAGACTCTGACGGAAGCAGAGTCTTATTTACATAAAAATCAGATTTAACCCTGCTGCAGGTAAAAGAAAATAAAAATAAAATAAACATTATAAAATAAAATAAAACCAGATAAAATAAAACAAAATCATAACCCCCAGGCAATTTTTCAAGGGTGAATTTAAGATCAAGCCAATAGCACCGGTTTTTGAGCAGTGGGTGGGGCTGGTTCACTTCTGACCATTTCTAATCAGTTTAGACACATTGAAGGAGTCCTAATTTATAGTCCACCCAAATAATTCCCAGAACTCCCCTCAAACGAAAAGTAAAGAACAAAATTCATAAAGAAGAAAGACATAAGGGAAAGCAAAACTCAGGTTCTTTGTCTGTGAAGCATTAAGCGTACCAGGAGCGGCAACTGCAACCAGTCCTGTGAGTGGTACGGGTATGATGACCTCTACAAGGTCAGCTTGACTTGCTCTTTTTCTCCGTTCTGCAGTCTGTCTATTTTATTAGCAGGTTTTGGTGTGTATCTTCGGGGTATTATGTGTCTGTGGTTACACACGTGTTTGTACGTACACGTGTGCACAGAGGAAGTTATTTCCACCAGTGCTGCTGCATCCTCAAATCAAGTAAACTTCACAAGGGAATAGAGCCTAAGGTCCGGAACTAGTTTATCCTCCCCCTCGGTACCTGTAGTTTCCCTTGCGTTGCAGATACAGAGCAGAATGCATCACCTCCTCTCCCTCTTGTTCTTCTCTACTCTCTCCATTTTCCTCTTCCTCACGCTGTCCACCTTAGTACCTGTTCTGGTGTTCGTAGTGCCAGCGGTTGAAGTCTATGTTGAACGCCACAATGCTGCCGGACGCCATGCCAGTGATCAGAGTCCTGAGGGCAGAGCACACAAAGGCACATCTGTAAACCAAACTATACACATACAATACCTGTGTTTTTTTAGGGGTTGCAGTGCATGAATCATTGTATATTTCACTGAGGTTTGGGGAAAATTACTGCCAAATCACTTATCATTCAGTATTTTCTGCTGTCCCCTTTAAGGTGACCCAGTTTCTCCAACAACAGTAGTCCTGATCTGGGCTCACATGGTCACACTGCCTGTCAAAGGGGCATCCTGTCTGTTTTACCTCTGGTCATGTGAGAGGTCCATGGCACGGATGCCTGCGTCACAGCCTGGGTAGATGTAAAGCTGTTTGAAGTCGCACGCCTGCCACACCTCCACAACACCGTTATCGCCTCCTGTCACCAAGTTCTGCCCATCGCTACTCAACAGGATTGCCTGAAAAGAGGAGAAGAAAAGTAAGACAGGTTAATAGAGGCTCAAGCACTTCTTTGTGTTGGACTGAGTGTAATGCATTTATTATTTATGGGGACAATATTCATGCAGAAATATACACCAAAAAGAATATTACAGTATGTTTACATAAATCATTATTAACTCTGACAGCCTCACCCGTGTGGAATCGTTGACTTCCATTTGTGCCAACAGTTTTCCATTTATGCTGAAATTGCAGAAGCGGCCTCTCTCGTAGTAGATGATGCAGTGGCCTTCACTGGACACTGAGATGAGACGGGGCCGCTGACACAGCTCTGGCCCCTCCAGGGCCCTAAGCAGATCTCCTGTGATAGTGTGGACCAGGCACGGGCCCTCTGAGGGACAAGACCAAAACAAGATAGTGTATTTTTTCTAAACATACAGCTTTGGTGATGGTGAGGTGAGCCTAAATGTTGTGGTATCAGCCCAATCTCTAATACAAATGATAATGCATGATATATGCATTTAATGGTTTTAACTGGCTTATGTTGTTGTTTTTTTTTACTGATATTCAATATTCCCTATGCTAATATCTACTAAATCTAAATGTAAAATCTCTCTTAAGCACAGACATATGAAGACACACGAACCTTTAGCTCCGCTGATGACCAATCCCAGCTCTGCACAGACAGACACACACACCACCTCGTGGTCATGTCCTGTCAGTACTGCCCTGGGAGCAGGGTAGTCACCTGGAGGAGAAAACAAAGTTACAGACAGTTATGATAGACCTCTGCTTAGAAAGTTGAATATAAACACACTCATGTACACTCACGCACAGAGACATGCAAAGATTCACAGGTCTCGCCACTCACTGTTGTTAGGGTTGTCCCCGATAATGTGATGTCTTCCACTCCAGTACCAGAGAAGAAGAGTGGCATCTCTGGAGCCTGACACGATATAGCAGTCTCCTCCGATGTAGGACTCTGATCTGGCCAAACATGTCACTACATCCCAGTGGCCAAAAACTATCTGAGTCAGTTTTCCTGTGGAGAGGAAGACAGATAAGTCAGTGTGTGCCTTCTGCTCATGCTTTTCAAGGCCATGATTGCTTAATTTGAAAATGCACGTTGCAAGTTAAACATGCAGGTTAGTGATTAGAGTGTCACATGTTTAATCTCTGGATCAGTAAATACAGCAATGCACTGTATGCCCAGATGCATACATGAAAGAGAATTTCCAAATCAAAAACAAAAATATAAATGCAAATGCATGAGTCTATACGATCCACATTTCCAGTCGTACTAGATAGATTCACAAATTGCAACTTTTAAAAAACATTTCATCATATCCTATAAATAAAGAAAAAACCCTACCAGTTTCAGTGGAGTAAACACGGAAGCTCTTGTCCCAGAAGCCGCAGACCAGGATGTAGCGGTTGTCAGCGGTAACCACAAAACAGTGTGTGTTGATTTGGATGCTCTGGTCCACCAGGTCAGTGATCTGACGCTTGTTCACGCCTGAGTTGTTTGCTACATGGAATCACAGAGATGTCAGTAGGTTAATGAGGGCGTACAAATGCAATATGGTTAACAAGCTATCCAATGATCTCTAACCTTTCCCGATCATTTATTGCTCGGCGCAGTGTTTTAAGTGTCGACAACCCCCCAATTTTGCAGTATATAAATCCCCAGTGTATCATGTGATATATTGTTTTCATTCCCTCTGGTGACCTGGCTGCCCTCATTATCTCACACATTCACACGTCCAGCATTATCATAAGTGAAGATTTTTGTGCGCTGACCTATGAGAGGGTCCATCTCAATGGGTAGATGATGAGCCTGTTCTAGGGAGTATCCTGGAGCTCCACGGAGGCCTGAAGGGTTTAAGGGTCAAACATTAAAGACAGTAACACATACATTCATAATAAAACAGTGAAGGATGAACTAAACTACAACCTCTCTTTTAATCACCCTGGTTATAATCATCCTGGTTGAGCGCTCCCTGATGAAAACTCTGATGCGGGCTTATGTTAAAGAAATAACTGCCTGATGTGGCAATCAATAACAAAAGTCACTTGAGCTGCTTCATGACCCTCCATAATCTCATTACCACGATTAATTACACCTAACCTGCTGTGCTAATGAGATCATTAATGAGGTTAATTGAGGCTTTAATTAACAAATATTTCTATGTCAACATCCAGGGTGTGGACAAAATAAGAGTTACCACCAATATAATACAATCTAATACAACAAAAATATAACTATGGGTTCAATAATTATCACAGAAATGAACATTGCCCTCTGTTTATAGGCATTAAAGGCCTACGTTGGTCTTAACTGTATAGCTGCTGATAATGTTTAATTATCTGTTTTATGGATTTATTTATGGATATTTTTGACTAATTGAATGAAACTAAAAAACTGTGATATATATATGCCAATTACAGTAACTACATTTACAGTTACTTGACATTTGTCCTCAATAAATGACATAAACAATACATTGTTAACTGTTGTTGATACATTTTCTGTTGCTTGACTTATCGATCAATTGACTAATGATTTCAGCCCTATTATGAACTCTGTATGTTCCTGTTTTATCAAGGGATTGTTCAGTAGTATAGTTTCAAAAGAAGCATAAACATTTATTCACATTATCTCCTAAATATGTGAAACCATAATAATACTGTATGCTGTTAAAGCTGCAGTAGGTCACTTTTATAAAAATAACTTTTGCTGAAACTTTCCCTTTATCCTGACAGAAGTATGTGAGACAGATAATCCTGGATTAACAAAGCTTCGGGTTGGTGGCCTGAAGACAGCTCCTTGTTGCGTCTTTGGGGCCTAAAGCGTAAAAGAGTTACCCCCTGCAGCTTAAAGATAATGTAATGTCATGCTCCATTCTTTATAGTGGTGTCACCTTGATTTTTATTTCCATGTTAAATGGCAGTAGATGCAATCTCATGTAATTTGTTTCTACGTGGAAAACAACCTTCAAGGCATGCACTCACCAACTGTGTTGTGCCAGCGGTTGACGGCAAACAGTCGGCTACATGTGACGGTGACAGCTGCTGGTATGCTGAGGTGGGGGAGCGTGTTGGCTGCAACGTGAGTGACGGGGGAGTTGGAGGGGAACTTGAGCACCATGATGACATCCTGTTGCATCTGATCCTTAAACATCAGAGGGCTCTGGGGAAGGAAACACTGGTGAGACAGACAGAGAAAGAGAGAGGGACAGAG